ACAAGATCACCACTGCTTAACCCTTGGGAAGTTCTGCTCCAGGAAGCCTGGCCCCCACCCCTCTGGGGTGCCGTCTAAACACCTAACCGTATGCCTGTCCCAGCAACTCAGGGCCCCTCTTCTATTAGCTTTCAAGTCCCTTCCAGACTAATTCCACTTGTCACTGTGGCCCAGCAGTCCCTGGGATAGTGTTGGTGCTCAATGAATGCTGCTTAAATTAGAAAAGAACAAAAATAATGTGCAACACCTAACACGATTATTTTGACCCTGGTGGTAGTTTTTTTCTATTGTCATGCAGTGTGATTTCAAGTCTATCTTTTTCACCTGCCTCCTTTCCCACTTATACCATCTTGTAGCCCAGAGGCCCCTCCACCCCGCAGCCCCATTAGGTAACAAACACTTCAGGTAACAACTACCAGACTCCCCCCCCCTCTTCTGTGGGCCAATCAATGCCCCCTGAGGTCAGATCAGAATTTTGGAGGTGTTATCATCATGACGGAATTCCCTCAGATACTCTGATACTCAAGCTACCTGGGTGTCTCGTCTTCAGACACCTTAAGCATCACTTACGGAATATGTCTGATGCAGGTTTTTTACGGTGGCCACACCCTGTATTTGGTGTTAAGTATTACTCAAATTGGTCAATTACCCGATTCATCAGATTTGACCCCAATGACTTTCTGCTCTTCCTCCCCATCAATTCTCCCTCCAGCGTTGAAGTGCTGTCATCGAGGAGGGCACACGGCAGCTTTGAAGGTGATTCCAACAGTGGAAATGGACATGGTGGCAGTGCTGGCAAACACCTTAGATCTGGGGGTGACCACCTTGAGAAGCCTTGTTGGCAATCCATTCTGATAGACGCACTCGAAGTGACCTTACAGTAACACTGTGACCACAGGAGGCACAGCCTGGGCACCTAGAAGACACCAGTGAGTGTGGGGCCCAGCAGAAAGGAAGCGGTGGAGGCCAGCTCTGCCGGGGTCACTGTGGCTGCTCTGAGAGCTACAGATCCACACAGCACACTGGCAACTGTCACAGAAGGAACAAGCACTCGGAAAGAACATCCTTTCCATTCCTCCAGCATGGTGGCTGGTACCCTGTGCCTATCACTTGTCCCAACCACTCTTCTCCGCTCCAACTCCTCCTTGGTCCTTAGGGCATGCGTGGTACTTTGAGGGATGATGGATTAAATCCTGGAAGGCCAAAGCCTCAGGGTTAGGAAAGTCATCATAAGAAGCCCTCAGGACCTGGGATAGGCTGGCAGGCCCCCGCCCCAGTGTATAATTTCAGTGTATTTGTCATCTTCCAAATGAAAGGCACAATCGGTTTTAACCACAAGCTCTAAGGTTCGTGGCGGGAGGCTTACTGTCTAGCAATTCTTTAGATCCAAGCTGGAATTCTGAGAGCCACAGGGGAGCCCAGCCTTGGGCTGTGAATCTGTGTATTTGCAAAAGGTGTGTAATTTTTTTACTGAAAATGAAGCACGCCTGAGGATGGGGGCAGTCAGCGCAGTGGAGATTCAGACACCGGGCCGTAAAAAACGGAGCACACACCCTAGTGCAGGTAGGAAATATAAATGATTTTACTGCTCAGCATTTGCACATGGAGACGCAGTGCACACAATACGACATGGCATTTTTCTTCAATTGATGCAACTCAGTAATTTTTATTGCAACTGGAAGACAATACATCACAGAAACTTTATGGTAGGTCTGGGGGAAAGTGTTATTTACAATAAATGATGAATAGTTTGTCTTTGGCAATATGATTACATATGGAGAATGCGAAATGCAAGTATGGGTGCCTCCGAAGCAACGCCACCAGGTCCCTAAAGTTCGGCTGATCGTGCCAGCTCCCACACTGCTCCTCTAGGTAACACAAATGCGACTGAACGTCACCTCCTTTCTCATGGTTCTCCCTTTCTATTCATGATATTGGCAGTTTCATACAGAAAGATACAGAAAAAAAATTGGCTTTCGAAAACTTACTACTCTAGTAAATGAATTTGGCCATGGAGGTCTATTGGCCAGAGGTCCGATGACCCCAAGTCTTGAGAGTAAACCTCTTGTCTTCTGATTGCTTGATCACTGTTATTTATTTACTTATTTTTTCTGTAAAACAAAAACAAAACTCAGAAATGTTACAGAATCAGAGTATAAAAAATAAAATGTACAAGTGTATAATGCTTCCCAGACACACACGGACACTTGTTTCCTCCACATTGTCACCATGGCAGTGTAAGTAGTGAGTGTGAATGACAGCAGGAAACTGGTTACTGAATCAGCTGTGAGCTTCGATGGCTCAACACACAATGCTGAATGTTTAAATAACTGAAATTGTGCTAAGAGTTTCATCTAAAAAAAGGGAGGGGTTGGGAACTCAGGCCACAGTCATGAAAGGATGAAAGACAATTTCTAGGTGTGAGAGGTTCCCCATATCGAAGTCTTTGAGAATCCAATATGGAATAGTAATCCTTTGCAAAAAGTAGGGAAGGCTGTTCTCAACTTTTTGCAAGTGAAAGACAGTGGCAAACACTGTTGTATAGATTCCAAATAAATAGTCTTGATTTCAACGCTAACAAAACGAACAGGAAGGGTACTTGTGAGCGTATCACAGTTGAGTCAGAAGTGATCTTTCACCCAGGTCTGATTTCAAAGTAGGACAGACAGCAAAATGCAGCACCATAGACATACTGGTTTCGGCCGTGGAAAGATGGATCGTTTTAAAAATCGGATTTTCCTTCCTAAATTTTTGGTCAGTGAAGCTAGCACTTGTTTGCTGAACTGTGGAAGAATTGCAAGGTCACACGCATTATTCATGATGAAGCAACGGAGCTGATGCGTCTGTGCTTAATTCAGGAATAAGCAGTGGGAGGGGGGCGGGGGCAGAGAGAGAACAAGAGTTCACCAGCGTCACCAGTGTTCTCTCAAAGGAAGAAGGGTCAACAGATGAATTCACAAAGGCAGGCGGGTCTATACAGAACACTGAATGCCATGTGTAAATCCTCATGGGACTCCAGATACAGGACCGCCACACAATGTATATACGTTGATTTACACATTTCGTTACAAATAAAAAGGAAAAAAAAAAAGACACCATTACAACTTTGTAACTGTGTTGACTGCGATATAGACCAAAGTCCCGAGTTTTGGCAGGGAACTAAAAAGAGGGTTACCACTTAGGTTATATAGCAAAAGTGTTGATGTATATTATATATAGTAGTATAAATAATAAAAAAGTATTATTTAAATTAGATCACAGTGCTGCATTATGTGCATAACAGTGTTTGATATAGTATTGGAGCTGGGACCTACAACACTAAGGATGTAACTGTCAACACTGGTAAGTCACGATCAAGAGGGGACATGGGGTTCAAACGTGTTCTTTTGGTGGCAAGAAAGAGAGAGAAAAAAATCCTGAAGTTGAAAGAAAAATACTCCTCTACAGAAACACAAAAGATAAAACTGCAACATCTGGGCAGCTGTGATCCACCAGAAAGAAACGAGTCCCAACCTGAATCAAGGTGAAAGGGCAAGAGAAGTCACATTACATCGAATTCAATCCCATATGGAAAACCCTCCCATGGAGGTCACTGGTACAGAACTCTGATTCCTTCTCCAAGAGCCCTCTGACGAGAGAGGCAGAGGGCCCACACACGTGGGGTGGGGTAACTGGACTGGGGAGTCAGCAGCACTGGGTGCAGAGCAGTCTTGCTGTGTCCCAGGACTGAGCCGGGCACAAAAGCCATCCAAACTGTTGAAGCCTGAAGTTGTCTCCTAGGCAGGACGGCCATCCAGTGCAGTGACCTCCTCCAGAATACCCCGTGGTACTCACTGCCACGCCCAGCAAGGGCCGGCCAGGCCGAGTGCCTCTACAAGACAAAAGTCAGCTCTTGGGAAAAGCTTCCAACACATCCCTTCTTAAACACTCAGCACCAAGACCAAAACCTGCCACTGTGGTCTTGGCTGTGGTTTCTCAAACCGTCTACCTGTGGGTTGGGTTCATTTGACTTTCAGATAGACAGTTCTACCAAAGAACTCTTGAACGGAGAGTGGTCAGAGAGGGGCAAGGGAAGTAGGAGCTTATGAGTTATATTATAAGGCTGGGAAAAGTCTATGATGCAAACCCCTTCCACGAAGTACTAGGTAAAGACAACAGACAATTGTAGTAGCATAAAAATAACTGTCTATGCGCACATCATTTAAGAATAAAGAGCCAGTCTCTTTCTCTTAAATGTGTCCGAGGACCAACAGCAAGTAACTGTGGATGTCACGGTGCAGATGTGTTCACGGTTGTTTCCCAAAGCATCTTCAAATATTGCTATAGTTCCCCATTTCCCCCTCCCCCCCGCCCCATGTGAGTATGTGAGACACTGGAATGACACACGAAATGCCACTTCTCCCAGCAGGAGAAACGAAAGCAAAAACACCACCACACCCCTTGAACGGTGCTCAGGCGACTTTGTCAGACTAATGAATACATAGGCTAGTTCGAAAGCTAAAAGAACACCTGACGTTTGGGAAGGAGTTCCAAGACTAAAGTGAATTACACTTGAGCAAAATATTCTTTCACAAATAGGCTTGTGCTTAAATTCTCTACTGCTCTTGGAGGAAGGGGTGAGAGGGTGCCCCTTGCCCCGTGGCTTGGCAAGGACATGGGCAACCTCATTCTGCAATGAATTCACTACAAACGGCCACATACACATCAATACTTGTTTTTTCTCAACAATCAAAATACAAAGTTAAACACAATTGAGCCATTGTTTTGGTTATGCATAATGTGTATGCCTCCAAAAACAGAAGAAAAATAGAAAAAAGTACCCTCACTAAAGTTTCCCCTACGTCTCCCAGCGGCTCCTAAGAAGGGACTGAGGGACACTCAGGAAAATAACACTTAGAAAGCTGCCCGATGAGGTATTTATGCAAAAAGAGTGGTTCTGGAGTTAAGAACACACTTTTATAAGATATTTATCTATTTCTCAAAGAGATCAGAAAAGTAAATCACACACATTGCATTTTATTATTTTCTAAAAGAGGCCTTTGCTCCTTTAGAAAAAGGAAATGAGGGGAGACAGCCCACTGTGGGGGGTTTTAATCGGAAGAACCCCCCCGGCCAGAAACCGTCCTGGACGTTGACCTCTGCCTTTGCGGAGGGAAGTCTGAATTTGATCTTAGGGGTGGAGTGAGGGCGGGGATGGAGGTGGGCAGGGTCAGGTGACAACACAAATCAAAGTGTCGCTTAGGTTCCACAGCTGTGGATGGCTTTTGGGGTGTCAGATGTTTGGGGAGACGGAGGGAACAGAGCACTTCAAAAAGACATCCTTATTCCCAGCCACACCCTGCACAGATACGCTGGAGGTCTTCAGGCTCTGGCCTGCGTGTGGGTGCAGATTGTCTTTCAGGTTCTCTCATCAGCAACCCAGAGGAAGAGAATGCACCAGGTAATTCCCACTGTCCTGGCTGATGGAGCTTCAGATCGTGCCTGGTGCTGGCAGGGGGCACCCCAGCGCCCCACACTGCCCCATTTTTAAAATCACCATCACCCCACTTCCCTTCCTTTCCCTCAACATCAGATCCTGAGCCACTGTAGTGGGTGCTCTTGTTTGTGTTCTAAATTTCCCTTCCATGTGGGTGGAAGATCAAATTCTTTTAGAGGCTTCTCTGGATCTCCCCAAATAGCTTCTCTTAGGCAAAGAGAACAAGAGTTTCTGGTCTGCGTGACATCATCTGGTTGTCTAAATTCAGCTCTCACAACCTAGGTGGGCTTCATTCCAGGATGGTTCGTGTACCGAGGTGGTAGAGATGGCTGGCCCCTCCTTCCCACCGTGAGATGAAGTCACGGGACAGGGTCGGGGGCGGGTCCTCCCAACACCCATTCACTTCGTCCTTCCGTGTACCCTAACTCACACCCTCATCCAATAAGGCCCATTCGTGTGTTTCCCCTTCTCCTGGCGAATTTGCATAATTATTCACTGCCTTTTTCCTAGAACCAAATCACGGTCATGGTTTTCTCAAGTCAGCGTCCCATAATTCTCTTGATTCTATCATACACACTCACTACTAAGTTTGCCCTCAAATTATTGCGTCATGGTAAACATGTACAGACAGAGAGAAAGGACACACGTTTCAACAGAGAATCAGAGGGGGTCGGGGGCTGAAGTGCAGACAAGGCAGTACAGAGATCCACCATCCAGGCCCTACCAGAACATGAAGATATTTTTATATTGCAGAGTAAGTTCCCCAACAGTCAATTTGTCCCTGAAGAAGGTTAAACCTTAAACACCTGCTTCAAAAAACCAAAACAAAATAATCAGAAAAAGGAAAAAAAGTAAAAACAACAAAAAAAGAAAACTAGAGGAAAGAAAAAAAAAAAGGAAAAAGAAGAAAACCAAAAGAACCTCTAAGCCTAAGGGCTTAAAAATTAGAGGCATAGCCTTTTCTCTATTTTCTATATTTATATGAAAATAATTCATGCTTCATGCTAAATACATTATTTACCTTACAAGAACTTCGTTACTTTTGAATAAAAAAAAGTTTGTGTTTTGTGAATTTTTTTCTTTTTTTTTTCTTCTTTTTTCAAAGGAATTCCATGCATTGTGGATCAGAAATTTCTGCTGGCTACACTGACTGAGTGTGGAAATCACTGGATTTTTGCAAAGATGAATCCTGACATTAATTAATTGCAAACTCCATTTTGAGGGCAGTATAGGAGTTTTTTCTTTTTCTTTTTTTTTTTTTTGCCATGTTTTCACTTTAGTTTGTCCATCAATGTGCCTTTCATCTTTAAAAAATACACCACAATACTAATGGAAGGTTCTGTAGCTTTTAGTTTTGTTTTGTTTTCACTTGGATCAAATGGTTTTGACAGACAGAAAAAGATTTGTACCATTATTTCCTTCCTTAACAGCTACTGTAATTTCTTGGATTTGCTTTTCACTTGGGCAGTTAAGAAGACAGAGCTTGTTTTTTTTGCATCAGTTTTTTTCTCTTTTGCTCTTGTGTATCTGTGTGTGTGTGTGTGTGTTGTGTTGGTGTGCATGTGTGTGTGTGCAGGACCAACCTTCAGGCTTATGGCTTGTGGAACATTCTCATTTACTATAGATCAGAATTCAATGATTAGCAACATCACTACAAACTGACCCACGTGCTTCTCATGAGTCATCGACACCTGCTGTACAGGAATGGCCCAGTGTCCACCTGGTAAGATGCTACTAGGCTTCACAGTTAAGAAGCACAGAGGACTGGTGACCACCCTGCCCCTCCTAGGGAAACCCAGGGTCCCTCCTCCTCAGTTGCCTTATGTGCATTCACTCGGCAGATCTAACTGGGTAGATATCCTGACTTTTAAAACCTAAAGGTTGGGCCTGATGGATGGTTACTTTGCACACGTGCCTTCTAGGTGCCAGATGTGTATCCCTGTGGCCTTTTCGTTGCCATCCCTGCGGATTCAGCCACGGGTTTCTGACAAGCTGGAGGAAGCAATGGTAATTTTGGCTTTTTCATTTTGTCTTCAGATAATGAAAAGCTTTTGTAAAACAGCTGAGTGTCAATATGAGTTCTATGGCTTCAATCTCCTTTAAACATAAAATTCTTAAGGGTCCAAAACAAAGGAGGGGGGCAAATTAAAAAAAAAAAGGAAAGAAAAGAAAGAAAACCAAACCAAAAAAGAAAAGAGAAGAAAAAAATAATAAATTGCTGATATTGCCACAAATCATTAGAAATCTCCTGACATGCTGAAACCAAATGGCCGTAAGTTCAAAACAAATCAGTGACTTGTTTTTAATTTTTTGTGGTTTCCTTTTGCTCTTTCTGCCCCTTTGCCGTCCGATTGGTGATGTTATTCAAACAGGACCGAATCCCCGCCAAGTGCAGGAGGGACCCTGCCGCCTCTTTCATCTCCTCGTCATCGCTCTCGGGGGGCTTTTCCGTGCGTCTCTTTTTGAGGGGCAGCGTGTCGCTGGGGACCTTCCTGGCCTTGGCGAAGTGCTGGCGCTTCTTGTGCTGGGACGCATAGCCGCTGTCCCCCAGAGCATCCTTGGCCTCCTTTGGGCTACGTTTCCTGTCATCCTCCTCCGTCTCGCTGTGGCTCTCGTGGCTCTGGAAGCTGCCCTCGCTGCCCTCCTGGCTCCCCTTGGCGGCAAACTCGTAGTGGTCGTCGGCCGAGGAGGAGGAGACGGAGTCGCTGGCAGGCGAGGTGCTCCTGGCATTGGAGGATTTGGCACTGCTGTAGTTGTGATCCTCCTTGGGGTCTCCGCTGACCACCGGGGAGCCACAAGATGGCTCGCTCTCAGTCCGCATCCGGCAGCTGGTGAGGCCGTTCCTGCGGGACAGGGACAGCGGGGAGGGACGGGAGACAAGAGAGGACAAGGATTAACCTCCCTGTGGTGAGGCACCGGCAGCCCCCTGTGTTCTCACGGCAGATGCTCTGACGTCCAATCCAGCGACCTGCCAACAGGTGGCTCCGCTTTGAAGACAGGGTCCTAAATCCTGACATCTCCGTCTTCCCTGCTTATCTCCCATCATTGACATTTTCACTCAGTTTGTGCAGCTGAGACGTCAAAACAACACTCTTTTGAAGTGACAGCAGTGGAAGCGCAATCTCTTCTATTAAACCATAAAAATCAAGTTGTGCTTGGTTTCACATACCCAACAACACTGTGGAGGAGACACCACCGGATGATGCTGGCTGGGCACTTCACAGAAAAAAGCCCACTCTTCCAAAGCTGCTCCAGTAGGAGTCTTTTGTCGGGAGACTAAATCTAGTGTTTAGCAAAAAGAGATGCCTGCCGTGTGGTGACAGCTATTCACTCATGCCTTCCCTCCCTCACTCATTCACTCTACAAGTGTTCAGTAACACCTAATATAAACGCACGGCCTTAGGGAGGGTCCTGGGGGAGGTATCCGAGGTAGAATCAGACCCAGACACTGTCACAAAGATGCTTAAAGATGAATGGAGAAGCAAGTCATGGTTAGATCTCAGACGAGACAGCAATAAGCTACCATCTCCTAAACTTACCACCTGCCAGGCATCCTGCTACGTCTGTACAGATGACTGCATTTTACTCTGTCAAGTGGATATTAGCGTTCTTATTTTATAGATCCCAGAAGTGAGGTCTGGAGAAGTTTGCTAATTTACTTAAAGCCACATAGCTAACGAGTAGCAGCAGAACTGGGATGGGAACCAAAGCCTGATGCTCAAGCTTGAGCAATTTATAACATCATGAGACCGACCCTCACTCTTGCCCGACTGCTCTATAACTAAGTCACCTGCTTATACATTCCCATCAGGTCCCGACAGCACCCATCACACCTCTGATTATTTTATCATGTTCCTATGTCTGGGCAGTGAACAGACCTCCTTTGTGCTTCCTTACTGGCAAAGAGGGGATAGTCCCTTCACCCGTTTCACGGGTTTGTGGGGCTGAGGATGCGAGCAAATGCCCGCCGGAGCGTGGACCAGCGTCTGGCCAAGCAGCGAGGTAGAGCGCACAGTCTGCGTGTGAATAGGCCCCAGTCCTGCCTGGCGGCTGCAACACTGATGCTGTCTGGCATACACAGCAGGTGTTCAGGAGAGGTGGTGATGGGAGATGAATACTCACACGAGGGAAGGATTTCTTATAGCTGGAGGGGGCGCAAGGAGGTTTGCGGAAGACCTAGCCTCTGACCTGGGATGTGAGGGCTGGAGGTTTTGAGCAGGGAGGAGAGATATTTCACTGCACCACGCTGGCCTTATTTCCATAGGCATATCCACCAGTGATACATTTCCAGATCCTGGGAACATGAGCACGCTTTTCCCTCCCACACACCCCTCCATTCCCTCTGTAGACAGCACTGCCCACCACCATTACGCACCGTGTGATGACCTGTTCCATGTCTGTGGTTCCCATTAGGGCATTAGCTCCACAAGGCAGTCCCCAGTCACTGATCGGTCCCTCAGTGGTTAGCGTGGTGCCAGGCAGAGTGGACCCCCAACGGATAAGATGGAGCAAGCACTGGAGCAGATGCAATTGTGCCGCAGAGAGTAGGAAGTTTGGGACATACCTTCCCGGACCCTCCCTGAGGATACAGCCCCAGCAGAAAGACCACGGGGTTGGGCCCTCCAATGAGATTCAGCCTCGAGCCCTCCCCCTTTCTCCCTGGCACTCCTGTGGGCCCTGAGACTCCATGAGATCCTGGTTGCAGCCCACAGAGGGGAAAAGGTGAGGAGAATCCTTGGTGTACATGGTGCAGAAGCGGGTGGGCCAGGGGGGTCTCCCTCCCTTTTGGAGCTCCATGCCATGGTGCTCTGCTAAATTTAAGCTGGTGATGAGGAGCCTCCTCCTGTTAACGTACACCGACAAAATGCACAAGGGCCATCATCAAAATTCCATCTTTACTAGATGCTTCCAGACCATCATGCTACCTCCGACAAGTGCAGTATGTGCCCTGGTCCGATCAAGTCCTAGCAGGCTTGTGAGGGGTTTCTGCACTCGTTCTGAGCCTGGTGATCCTGGGTGGGCACCCCTCCCCACAATCCTTATAGAAAGGGCCTGGCTTTCAAGACAGACGGACTTTTGGGGTTCACACCCCAGTGTGGTTTATTAGCGAGAGCTTCAGCGGGCTCCCCATCTACCTCACAGGGCTGTGTGATGATAAAATGGAAGGTTCAAGCACAGAGCGCGGCTCGTGGGGATGCTGGAGAACTCTGACTCGGCCTGCCCCCTCGCTGTCCCGCGGCTGCTCCCCGCTGCCCGGACACGCCCGCCCGGAGCAGCCTCGCCTTCTCCCTCTGCCAGGTCAGGAGGCAGATGGAAACGCAGCAGAAGCAAGAGGGAAGAGGCCCAGCGACAAGCTGGCGAGGGAAAGGTGACTGCGAGGTGTCACCGAACACGAAACTGGGTAAATGTCATGAATTGTCCTGGTAGCTGAAGAGTCATGAAAGCAAATGAAAACCAAAGTCTCGCACGATGCTTCTCGCGATCGTTGTCACCGCAGGTGACCACCGTGAAATCCCCACGTAATCAGTCTACCGAACTAGCCTCATGTTCAAGGTGGAACCAACTAGGCCTGGGTGCCTCACCTGGGCTGCGAGTGGCTTTTAGAAAAATCAGTTCGGTTCTGAATCCTTACTTTCTCACAACGTGGGTCTGATGAGTCACCACTACCACAGTTAAGCAGAATATGACACCACTCTCTGAATGTGGAGGGAGAGAATTCTGGGAGCAAAAGAGTAAGAAAGAGGCAAGTGTTGCAAAAAAGCTCACTCTTAGTGGATCCAGGTACTTAATGGCGTTCATTGTGCTGCTCTTTCCTTTCCCACATGTTAAAAACATTTTTTTTTAGGAGTTTGGGGTGCAGGGTGGAGGAGTGGGAGGAATACACCAGAAAGGAAGCAATGGTACAACAGTTCAGATCCATGCTATTACGAGAGGAAAGGTTCTGAGCCTGGCAACTTCTCTTCCCAGGATATAAGCAAGC